GCCGTCGTACGGCCTGCTGTACAAGGTGGCGGTGCCGCCGGTGGTGAGCGTCAGCCCCCTGCCGCCGGCCTTCAGCGTGGCCTCGCCGCTCCTGCCGCACCCGGGCCTCCCCTACTCGCCCGTCCACTACGCCCAGCTGCCCCCGGCCCCGCTGCACTTCGTGGGCTCGCCCTACTCGCTGCCCTACGCCCTGCCCCCCGGCTTCTTGCCCGGTCCCCTCCTGCCCGCCTCCCGCCTCCCCCATTTTGTGCCATATGCCCCTCTCCTGCTGGAGGAGGCCGGCCCGCCCGCGCACGGCTTTGGCAAGGCCCCTGCCGGCCCCCTTTCCCTGCAGCCCCACGGCGGGGGCGGGGGGACTCAGCCGCTGGATGTGGGGCAGAGCAGGTTTCCAGTCCAGTATCAGCTGTCCCATCTGCCAGCAGGCTACTCGGCATTTGAGGTTCCGCTTGCTGATCAGAGCTCGGAGCTCCCACTGCAGGACTCCAAACTCATCACGGCTAATGGCGTGGGGAGGCCTGCTGCTGCCGCCGCCGCTGCGGGGACCAAACTGAGTGAGGTGCTGGACATGGGCAGTGGCAGTGCCGAAGGACAGTTGCCACGGACGACTGCAGAGTCCCCCGCCGACAGTCACTTCTTCACAAGCTGTCAGTCGCTGAGAACAGAAGTTTCGATGGCGTCTCAGCGGAGTACCCCAGAGACAGACTTGGAAGTGCAGAGGGTGGTGGGTGTGTTTGCTTCTCAGGATTACCCTGCTTGCTCAGGTCAGCAGATGGAGGGCTTGAGCCCTCTAAACCTCTCCCATCGCGATCTCCTTGAGCAGGGGGAGGAACCGGGGAGGAATCCCGGCCAAGCTGCAGCCGAGAAAAGCCACCCTCCCAGGCTGTCTGCAAAGTCTCCAGTGGAACTGCTCTACCGTAACCAAATTCTGCACGGCCTGACGATGGCCAATGGCAAGGCAGTCTCAGGGTCCCTCCCGCTGGCCGCTCAGGACGGCCTGGGGAGGGGAAGCCCGGAGGTGCCGGCCCTCGACCGCGCTCCCTCCCGGGGGGGCCACTTGCCCTCCCACTTCGTGAAAGGAGCCATCATCCAGCTGGCCACCGGGGAGCTGAAGCGGGTGGAGGACCTGCAGACCCAAGACTTTGTGCGCAGTGCCGAGGTGAGCGGGGGCCTGAAGATCGACTCCAGCACTGTCGTGGACATCCAGGAGAGCCCGTGGCAGGGCTTCGTCACCCTGCATTTTGTGGTTGGGGAGCAACAGAGCAAAGTGAGCATCGATGTCCCCCCTGAGCACCCCTTTTTTGTGTACGGACAAGGCTGGTCGTCTTGCAGCCCAGAGCGGACGGCTCGGCTCTTTGCACTCCCCTGCCACCGGCTGCAGGTGGGGGACGTTTGTATCTCCATCAGTTTACAGAGCCTGAATGGCAGGCCTGCTCCTCAGGCCAGCCAGGGAGCCCCCCGAGAGAGGCTCGGGAGGGCCAGCCAGGGCTTCCGAGAGCCGCAAGCCAGAGCTGAGGGGGAAGGCCCCGTGCAGAAGGGGGCTGTGTCACTGGGCCCTTCCCCTGAGTCCCCCCGTCTCGAACCCACCTCTCAACACGGCTGGGCTGGCCCCGGCTTCCAAAAGGTGGGGGAGGAGCCTCGGTCGCCCTTGGTCCGCCCCTCCTTCATTCCCCAGGAGGTCAAGCTGTCCATTGAGGGTCGTTCAAATGCAGGGAAGTGAGGCCCAACCAGTGAGTGGACAGCTGGCCGTGCAGAACAGGGCTTCTGCTTTGCTCCTCAGAGGTGCCTGACACCTCCCGTCGCTGTATGTCTAAAATCATTCCACTGGCAAGAGGGCCCCCCCCCGCCCCACCCCTTGCAGGGGCAGCTGGCTGGCTGCAGGGTAGGCTGTAATGGGAGCAGTTCTTCTGATGTGGGGAGAGGACCGGGACCCTAGAGTCCCTCTCTTCAGACAAGCACTTTAATAGGACACCTGCTGAAGGATATGGCAGGTGCCTCCCGGCTGGGGGGGAAACAGGAACGGGCACACACACACACAAGGGGGCTGATGCAGGAGAGGTCTCGCTCGGGCACAAGCCCCGCTTGCTCCTCTGTCTTAGGGAGGTGCAGGCCTGCCCTGGGCATTGCAGCAGATCTCCTCCAGCAAGGAGCAGAGGGAGCTGAGACAAGGAGGGCTGGCCTTCTAGCCTGGGCGGCTCCTCCGGGTTCGCACGACTCTCTTGGATGGGAGGCCCCCTCCCCACACCAGTGCTGTGCCCTCTTGGCTCCGCAGCCTCTCCCCCCCCCCCCCCCCCGGCTGCCCCCCCTTTCCCTCCTTGTAGTCTCCTTGGCTCCCCCCCCCCCCCCCCCCCCCCCCCCGGCCTGTCCCCTCTGTCACTCCTTGAAGTATCTGTGGCTCAGGCTGGTTGAGCAGTTTAGCACTGAATGATGACGCTTGTCCGCTTTTCATAGGCCCGCTATAGAGCATCTCCAGGGGAGCATGTTTCCGTGTGTGTGTGTGGGGGGGTGCTAACAGGCTGCGCACTCCGCCATTAGGGGCCTGTTTGGTAAAGCTCTTCTAGGGGAACTTGCAGAACTGAGGATTCTGCAGCTACTGCAATAATCTCTGAGCTCTTTGAAGGGAATTAAGAACTCCAGTGCACATGAGTGGCCCTTGGCATCTTAACGCCACGTGTTTTGGTTCTTTAGACGAGATAACGGACACTGGTGCCTCCAGGAGAATGAAAGAACCATTTCATTTTTGAGTCTGGAGCACCAATGCTTATGACTGCGTGCCAGTTAGAGAACCTCTCCTGCCTTGGTGCCTCTGTAGAAGGGTGGGGGGAAGCTCTGTTGACTTCTCTTGACTCTTCCTGTAAGATGGGAGCCCCCTTTCCAGTGCAGCTGCTAGCACCTGCCTTCCCTCTTGGCCTGAAACGGCAGCTCTCACTGTTCACGCTGTATGAAAAGTAGCAGGATTTGCTCTCCTGCCTGCCTCCCTCCCCCTGCCCTTGTTTGCTGTCTCTTTCCAGCACTTTGCACTATTCCCAGCTGCCTGTTGGTCAGTCACGGTCCCTTTCTCCACCACCCCCCTCCGTGGTGTGTGCCTCAGGCCAGCCCTGATTATCCTCTACCCTCCTGCTGTCCTTTGAGCAGGGTTGCCTTTCTCCTCTTCCCCCCCACCCCAGCAGGCTTTGGGGGTGGGGAGGGAGGCAGCTGAGAAGTACTGTGGCATATAACTGGCTACCCCTTTTCCTTCTAAGTGTCCCTTCTCCAGGTCTCTTTGGCTTTGTGAGCCTCGATTTAACTGCTGGGAGAGTTATGCTAAACCGGGCCCCAAAGTATTGCTTCTGTTCAGGTGGCTGACAGCTAAGCATCTGGCGTGTGAGCTCCCAAGCAGAGAAAGGCTGGTGGGTGCAGGCACAGCAGGGCCGCAGGAGACACTCGGCGGCTGGCTTCCTAGAGCAATAAGCTGTTTCATTCAGCGGACACTACAGAGAAGCCCTGTGCCTGCCTGGTCCTGAGAAATATTTCAGGATTCCCCGATGTGCAATACTGTGGGGCTTGCTTCCGCCCACTGCTGTGCCACAGAGCCCCTTGCTGCCCCCCCCCCCCCGGGCATTCTTTCCACCTTGAGTTTTGCCCTTTCCTTTTGTTGCTGGCTGCTTCCTGCAAGAGCACACGTGCCTTTCTCCAACGCCATCCCTCCGCCAGGGCTGTTTTTGATGGGCAGACTGGCCGAGGGGCTTCTCTGGCCCCTTGGGGGATACGCTGAGGAAGGTGGCAGGCTGGCTCTGGGACCCTCTGCAACCAGAGGAATCCCTGCACAGCACCTTAGCTGAAGTGGGCCACGGGCCCAGGGGAGCTAGTGAGTGACCCTGCCATTCGTGAGTGACGTCTTCTTTGGTAACCAACTGCATCATATCTAAAGCCTTAGAACTAGCCCAGTCCCGTCTCTCCTGTCTGATCTCTTAAGGAAGCATTATGAGTCTATTTCGTTGTGTTTTTGTATCTGTTTGGAATAAATCAATTTGTACTGTATATTTGTACTTTGGGTGAGATCCTGCTCCTGTTTTACCATTTAAAGTCTTTCAACACAGATTGTATTTTTATTGTTAATGCTCTTAATGATTACTGCATTTAATTTGTTGACTATGTAAACACAGTATATATATATATACACACATACATATATGTACACATCTATATAATTATAAATCAATAGCTTTTCCTTTGCCGTGTCTGCTTCATGTTTCCCTCTGGCAGCGCATGCTGTCTGCAGCAACAGCTGGGCACAGTCACCAGAGCTGTGAGGAAATGCAGAGGGAGTGGGCATGGTGTTGACCAAGGGGGGGGGGGGACCGTGTTGTTCAGTGCCCTTCCCGTGACTGAATGACATCTGGGAAGGAGCTTGCTGTGGCTCCACTACCCAGAGGCATTCTCTGATAACAGACAATTGTATCGCTGAACACCTAAGAGACGCTTGGGCAGGTGTCTAGGCAAACCTGCACCGTAAGCTACCTGAAGGTATGAGACGGGTTGCAACAGATTTGCAAGAAAAGCCAGCCCACCATTTTTAAAAAACCGCATTACACGTAGACACCCCAGCATTTCAGCAGTATCGAGGGTTTCTGTAGCAACTCAGGAGGACACACAAACTTGGAGGTGGCTCCAGCTCCACTGCCCACCTCCTCTCCACCAGACGTGCCCATGGGATCTCACCCCACCTGTCCACGGAGAGAAGACAAAGGCTGACAGAAATTAGTCCAACTTGTTTTCCAGCCAGATCAAGCAGGTGGTGATGATTCCACAGCACCAGCCAGCAAAAAGGCATCCTAAGAGGGGATTAGGAATTATACCAATTGCCTGATGAGTTAAATGCTGAGGGGGGGGGGGGGTTACAGAAGCATCAATGAGCGAATTTGCTAGCACTGAGGTTTAAGGCCCAGAGAAGTTCACTGTCAAACTAACTGAAGTGTGGCTTTTCTCTTGGTGAAGGGAATTTGTACACACGGCAAGAGATCAGTTCTAACCAGCCACCTATTCCCATCAGGACCCAGAAGTGAGCTCCTGGTCTTCTTCACTCACATGGGGCCTATAGCTGGATTTTTTTCTGACCTGACCTGGAAAATCTAAACCAGGCTCTGCCAGTGAGAGGTGAACTCATCCTTCTGAGGCAATTAGGGCTTTCCAAGGCACAAGCCTGTATAGATTTCCTTTTCGTTTAGTAGAAGAAAGGCGGAACCCACCACATGAAGATGACAGGGAAGCTGGGAGAGGAGAACTTCTAGCCAAGAGGAACCTGCCTGTTGCAGGTGGGATTCCAGTCTATCCCTCTTCAGAAGAAGGGTACAGGAGTTACATGTGCCTACATGGCCCCTGTTGCAGAGGTAGCTCTTGCTCTCCAGCAGCCTAGACCTCAGCATAATTGCTGGCTGGAGCAGTAACTGCTTTGGTCCATGCTAGTCTTTGCTGACATCCGCAGGGAAGGATGGACAGACACCTCCGGCTGCTGCCAGGTCCATTTCTATTCCCCTCTGTTCCCAGGCCCGGGGGTCCCAAGCAGCGCACAGGTTGCCAGTTCCGTCCAAGAGAGCCGCTCAGTGCAGTGTGCTTGGGCTCGCCTCCTCAAAGGCCATTTTGCTGAGCAGCTGGCCATCCAGCTCCACACCACCCGCAGGCAGCGGAAAGAAGTTGATCTCCGCCGCCAGCGTGGCCATTGCAGAAGGATCCTGGCCAAACTGGGCTCGCAACATCATGTCCATTTTCTCCAGCCGCCGCTTCAGCCTCTTGGCTTCCCGCTCACGGATGAGCCGTTCCTGCCGTTTCTCCGGGGTCTCGTTGGCACGTTTCAGACGCATTGCTTCACGGTCCCGTTGAAGCCGGCGTGCACGCTGCTCATCCGTCTCCTGCATGCGCTGCAGGCGCTTGGCCTCACGGTCCCTCATGCGCCGCACTTCTCGCTCCTCGGGCGTTTCGTTGTCTCGGCGACTCTTCTTGGCAGTGCGCTCTCGTTCCAACCGCTGGAGCCTCACCTCCAGGGGCTCGTTCTGCCGCCGCAAGGCCCACTTGCGTATGCCTGGGGATTGAGCTTCCAGGAGCTTGCGGTAGGTCACGCAGCCATTGCACACCAGGAGGAGACCAGCAGGATACACGGGGGAGCTAAGTGCAGGGGTCTTCTCTTCAGCCCCAGAAGACCCTTTGGGGACAGGAACTGGCAGGGCATCTGCACATAACACCTCTGGCACCTTCTCGCTGTGGAAGGCGAAGGACAGAAATGTGAGCTTAGAGACGGCTGCCCGATCTTCTTGCTTTGTATGTACCCCAGGTCCCCAAGGGGATCTTTAGGCAGACCTTGTCCAACCAACAGTCCTTTCTTGCCCCTGAGCATGTCAACACTCAGGCCTCCAAGGGTTACTAAAGAGCTTGAGCACAGCTGCCCCACTCCCTCCCCTCACTGTTACTCTCCCACACATTTTTACACCCTTCAGAATGTCTCACACTCCCACTGGCCCCTTGCAGGCCCGGTCCTCGCAACATGGCCCACTGCCATCCACCTGGAGAAACAGCAGAAGTGTCTCACCTGTTGAAAGTGGCGTGGCTGGTAAAACGTGCCCCACACACTGCACAGTTTGACAGCTGGTCCTCAGAATGGATGAGAAGATGCCTGCCCAGGGAGCCCGGGGAGCTGAGTGCTCGGCCACAGACGGGGCACAGGTAGCTCTTAGCACTGACCACAGCCGTCGTGTGCTGCAAAGGAGTCCAGGTGGTGAGGCAAGGGCTCCGTTACCCCATCCCCAGCCGAGAAGCTCCCTCTTCCATGAGGGGAAGAAAAGGAGAAAACCCACAAGGGCTGTGGTCACACACACTCAATAATCCACTGAATAATCCAGTTTGGTGTAGTGGTTACGTGCGCAGACTCTAATCCGGGAGAACCGAGTTTGATTCCCCACTCTTCCACTCGCAGCTGCTGGATGACCTTGGCCAAGTTCTGTCAGAGCTGTTCTTGAAAAAGAGCAGTTTCTGTCAGAGCTCTCTCGGCTCCACCTCCCTCACTGGGTTTCTGTTGTGGGGAGAAGGAAAAGGGGTTTGCAAGCTGCTCTGAGACACCTTTGGGCAGTGAAGGGCGGGGTATAAATCCAATCTCTTCTCTTCTTTCAAAAATCCAGTTGTAAATTGCATTGAAAGTGGATTATTTAGTGTGTGTGACTGCAGCCAAGGGCTGGCTTCCTTCGCCGGGGTGTGGTCCAGCCCACCAAGAGTGGTGGGAAAGGCAGTCTCCCTTTCCCAGGTGAAAAGGTGCCCTGGCAGAAACCTGCCCCTGTTCTAAACAAGCAGCCCTTTCAGCAAGGCCCCTCCCTCTCGGCATGCTGCCCCCCCCCCTTACCTGATAGACATGAGTGACCAGCTGCTCCCTGCTCCCGCACTCCAGCTGACAGAGAGGGCAGTGAGAGAGCCCCGTCAGGGGGGCATCTGGGTTCCCATGCAGGCCCAACTAGATGCAAAGAGACACTGGGGGTCAGGGCAGCAAGGGCCACACACAGGCCACCCACCTAGGCTCTGCACTGCCGCCCTCCCCGCGCTAGACACCTGCGGGGGAATTCGGCATGCCTCGTAACAGGACTTTGGGAACGGCACCCCGTGCTCCAAAACGGTGTTCGCAGTGGGCCCACAAGGCCCACTTTCGCAGGAACCCCGATGAGGCCAGTCACGGAGGTTCACGGGAGCCTTCCAGCAGCAGCCCCACGGGTCATTCTTGGCCACTCTGCAACAGAGTCCCTGATCCCGTGTGGTCCCGGCGGTGAGCAAGGCACACGAGCCCCCGGTTGCCGCCCACTGTGGCCACCTCCCTGCTGGATGACCCCACCACGAAGGCCAGGCCCCCGGCCCCATCGCTCCTCCACGCTGGTATGGGCGGGGCTGCTCTCAGCGCAGAGGCCCACTTGCCTCCCTGTCCGGAGTCCCCCGCTCGCAGTGGTCAAGCTGCTCGTCAGCCTCCAGCTCCCGCTTCACTTTTGCCATTGCTCCGTCTTCCTCGGAGGCGTGGGAGGAGACCTCATCCTGTGTAGTCTCTCCATCCCCCTCGCTGTCACCTGGAAACCAGAGGGACGGCTTGTGGCCCTGCACCTGAGTGGTGGGCCAGACCAAAGCTGCTCTAAGGCCCCGGGCTCTAGGTGCCGCCCCTCCCCTCCCCGGAGAAGGAGGCAGAACTCACTGCTGCTGGAGTCCTTCGCTTCTTGGAACAGGGGCTGCAGTGGTGGCGGCGGCTCCCCAAGCAGCCCGGAGAAGCCCCTTCTCATCATGGCCTGCCGAGTGTGCTCCTCCAAGCCGGCAAAGATTTGCTTCCCTGGAAGGGCAAGGGCAGGCGTCAGAGCGTGGGCCTCCTTTTTGGCCCAGAGGCTCCTTGATCCCTCCTCCTTGCCCGGCAAAGGGCTCCCCTACCTGAAGGCGGCCCAGAACAGGACTAATGCCTGGGGTCCGCTCCCCAAAAGAGCTTCCCCCAAACCCTTCCTGCAAAGCAACGGTGGCCTGACCCATCATCTGTCCCTCCTCCGCCCCCTTCCCAGCACGACCTGGAACACAAACGTCTCCAGCTGCCCTGGGCGCCCAGGGAGGGCTCGGTCACGCACCTGGCCGGACGCCC